GTACTCTTCATGTTTAGTACTACCTTTGAATTCAGGTTGTTAAAACTATACAAATGTTCTATGATTTACCTTTTATATCGTCATTTTGCAGTGCTTTTTCTGTTTTCAGTTATTGTTTAGTGTTGAAGTGTAAAGAAACAGAAGATGCTATTTTTTGTAGCAGTAGTATGATTTTTATGCAGCTTTGAAAGATACTTTAACTAGTCAGTAAGCATAGCATTTCTGGTGTAACCATCAATATAACTAGACGTCATTGTCCTAATGGTATCTAATAACTGAGCATTTTTTATTGTACGTAAAAAGCAATATTATCTATTTCACTTTCTCTCTGTTGTATTTTTTTTCTACTTATTTTTTCTTTTTTTCGCATATGTTTTTCATTTAATTGACTTAAAAATTTATTGATACGGGTTTCTCAGATCATCATCATTGTCATATAGATCCTTCCTTTTACAAATCAGTTCTATATACCTGTTGTGTAAGACTGAAACAGTCAGTATTTCGTTTTTGCTTTCTCACTTAAAGTTTCTTTCTAAAATAAAGTTGTTGTTATTTGATTCAAAAGAAATTTTTTTATTGTCAATTTTATATTGCTAATTTTTTATGTATGTTGGTTTGAATTTTGACTCAGCTACGGGAAACAAGCGTTCCTTTTCTAACAGTGGTCTGGGATTCTGAAGATAACGACACTCCAGGCTGCATACGGTAAACAAAACACCACTTTCAATTTTTCACGCAGTAAAGCTATATTATAACTGAATCTTTACAAATAAATATTTTTCATAATATTTGCTATTAAAGAAGCTGAAATTTGATTTAAAATAACTCTGAAACCACAAAACAAAGAAGAAATAGTTTTGGGAAGATTGTATAGTTGATATAAAAACGACTTATACGCAGATTGTCTATTAGTATCGTTGTTACTTTTGTTAGACAAAAAAACTGGTTTGACGAAAGAAAAAACATTTATTTTTATACAGATCTTTAGCTAAGATTTGTAGATAGGTTAAGTTTTATGAGAACAAATGCTACTGTTTTGCCAGTTGATACGAGAGGTAGTCACACTAACGATAAAACTAATTGGTCTTTTAAATGTTGCAATAATGAGTGATACGTGTCTAAAAAGATAAACTTTTAGTTAATAAAAAAATAACTGATTTTTTTTATAAAAGACTTCTAATAATTTTTTTAAAAAAACAAACACCGAGGTAGAAGAATAGATCACTATAATTTGTTTATCAATATACTTTATTAATATTATTAATGAAAAGAAAGTAATCAGTTTTCTAAACTAAGAAAGGTTTAACCATTAAGCATGATGCAGGTAGCTGTAGAAAGAAAATGTATAACATCTCAGAAATGCAAATACAATTTAAATATTTGATTTAGTTTTCCAGTGTCTGCTGGTTTTAATCAACCTTAGTTAACAAATATTGTTTTAGATTATTTTTAATATTAGTTATAATTTTTAGTAACATTTTAAAAAAAGTGAGAGGAAAAGCTATAAAGTTTAGTTTTTTTTTTTGATAAGCAAATAAAGTAAAAAACAGCGGCTTAATCGGTGAATAAATTGACTTTTTATGAGTATAATTTGAAAAAATTTGTAACGAAGTGTATACCCGGAAAAATTTCACCAATTTTTTGTTTACCTAACGTTCGCCTGTTCTTCCTTTTTATCGGTTTCAAGCAATCATTAAAATGTAAACTTTAGTCACGGGAAAAAAATTTTAGATCAGTATTATCAGTTTACAGACCGGTTTAAATATGTCGTCAGTATTCTGTTTTTTTTTTTTTTTTTT